TCCCATCACTATTATATAAACTGCTGATGGAATTAGTTGGAATAGCTAATTTTATCGATGATTCTGATAGTCCATTATTTCTTGTATCAATGGCTTGATGTGCTCTTCAGTAAAAAGTAATGTTTCAAAAAAAAAATACAAAATGCTAAGTACGTGCCGAGTTATAAAACCAAACTTCTAAATGTGATTACGATGAAAGTTCAGGTGGGATATATGCTATGTTCGTTTATATTTCTGGAAAGAAAAAACGTTCAAAGTGGGAAACATTAGGGATTGTTGAAAGATAACACAGTGGCCGTATGAGATTTAAGATACAGTGTACCTCATGAGTTCAGGAACTACTTGAGAACGAGTCATCAAACACTAGCAACTTGTGAGAGAAGATTGAGGGCGAGATTTGTTAAAATTATCTACAAAGTGCTTTTTCTCGCATTGGTCTGTTAGAATATTATTTGGACTCTTATTTTCCACAAGCACGGATTCATTCTATAAATATCTATCAATCCTGTTATAAATTCAGGCTGATTACACCTATTTTCGCTTATGTTTGCAACAGGGAAAAATGTTCTAAAATATATTTATCTGCAGATATATCGCCACACACAGTATGGCCTTGTACAACTGGGACACATTCAGGAATAACACACCGTGTGAATGTAATTTTAGCGGTGTGACTAGTTGGTTGTTAGTTGAGCGACGCCTGTATCTGTATCGTGTGGAGGTTGTGTTACCCCACAGCACTTGGGACTTACTAGGCCCATTGTGTATGCTCCTAAAATGATAGGCACCTCCTAGCTCGTGAGCCAGCCTACAGATTTAATTGAGCAACACCTACCTGTTACTATTCCTGAACCAAATTGGGTGTTGTGTTCTCTGGGCGTATGCGCATGTCAAATGTCAAAAACCGAAGTATAACCAAACATTTTAGTTTAAATTCATATTATCCTGTTTAATCACATTTTTGTACGTATTTGTATTCATGTTTACAGGTTATAAAAAATATCCAAGAAATGAACAATAATTTTGAATATAAAATGACAATTGACAACTAAAATATCTCAATCGCACTTCCTCACACTGTAAAATGATGGTGTGAAGCTAGGCGACTCATGTGCGTGCCTCTAGTAATTTTTGAACGAAATCGAGTATACACAGAGACATTCCTATTTCTTACATTGATGTTTCACTTACACCCGGTGTGTGATTCCTGAATGCGCCGATGTAGATCTCGACCCGTCGTCGTCTCGTATGTGTGGAAAATATTTGCCTCAAGGCAAGACACCTAACGGCGACGGCCTGTTAGTGAATGGGTACCTTCAAGCTATGGTTTATTAGGATAGTGCGCGACGCTCGACGTACGCGTACAGCAGAATCTGTCGCGTTCGACTCACGTCAGTTTTAGTAGAAGTGATTTGTTAGAACATAAATCAGTTCAACTTATTATGTTGTTACATGGAGGTGAAAATGAGTTACCATAAATTAAGTAACTTGTTAATGGCGATTATTTTAATGGAAGAAGGCGAAGAATTGTTAGTTTTTAAGCAGTAATGATCAAAATAAAGCATTATTTTTTACTGTTTATTTGACAGTCTACTGTATGCTGAGCTGAACAATTGCGTCCAAATCAAACTGAAATTGATTTTGACGTACACTGCTGTCTGCCTATCTGTGCTGACTATAACAAACCATTCCCATAGTATTAACATTGTTAGATTTCAGCGAACTTGCGCGGCGTTCATCAGACTGTTAGTTTTGAATTTCACACTTTTCTAACAAACCGTAGCTTAAGTCTGGTTCCTCCGTGTGTGAGCAATAGAGCGTTTTCAGGTTTTGGTACACTATTGCAACGGTTCCAGAACTCTTTCCAGAACCTTTGGAGCAGGCGCTGTTTTGGTTTCACCATAACAAGTTCCGAACTTGTAAGTTCTGTGTTTTGGTTTTTCTTGAGAATGGTTCTATAACCATTCTCGAACAGTAACTTCGGTTCTGGCACAAAACAAGAATTGTTTCATAATTGAAATGTTTGCGCATGCGCCTTTTGGCAAGTAGTTTTTGGGATCCTGGCCATGTTTTGTGTTATTTTTTCTACATTTTAAATATTACATGGCCTGTTTCTCAGTTAGACACTGACCCTGTATGATTTCTTTATAATTACTTTTTGACATTTAACTGTTCTAGCATTATTTTGGTTTCGAGTACAAATGAAATTGTTACCTTACAGAACTGTTCAGAATTTAGGACTATTACGCAATAATTCTGCGCATGGTTCTGGAACAATTCTAGAACGTGAACCAAAACAAACCTAGTGATAGGCTCGTCTCTCGAGCCCCACCTTTCATCAGCTAACCGTCCGCTAGAGATGTTTGACTAAGCGCTACTAACTAGCAAAAAGGGCCCTTGGGTTATACCTTTTTTTCAAGAGATATCCGTGGCCCGTCAAAAATATTCAATTTTTATACGACTAACTTTTGATGCGGGTACCAAAAACCTACTGGGATCGAATTGCAAAACAATATGAGAATTCCAAAATCTTTCTTTTGTTTTCTAGATACTTACCACATTACCCATTTCTAATAATAATAATAATATTTAGAACATGGCCACACAACTTCAGACATCTGAATGTTGCTTTTTTAGTTATTGTGCAAAATAAAATTGCCTATTTTTTTCGGTAGTCTTGTGGCAGATACATCGATGCAGAATTAGTTTTGCGACTTTGGCCGCTATAATTTTCGGTCAAAATTTAAATGTTTAGTTATTGAGAAAAGGAATGACTTTACGAAAGACATTTATAAAGCATACAATTTATTCTATTTATCCATTTAAGGAACGCTTTATTTTCGAGGACATCCTTTATATTAAGATTACAAATTTTAAACTAAATTATCGGGATGACCTACAAAAGTGCAATATATTTTTTATTAAAACAAAGATTTTGATATTGAAGGTTCTAAATGTTTAATAATTCCGACAACGTTTGCTTCAAATACATTCAATTTTTAAAGTCATAGAGTTAAAATTTGTTATTTTTAGATTAATCATATACAAACAAATTTTGATTGTTTATGACTTTTCTTTGACATCATCATTCTAAAAAACTAACTTTTAGTGATAAATTAGTGATAAATATTCAGATTTGAATAATAAAGTTTATTTTTATTTTGCTTTTAATAATTTAATGAAAATTGATGTGATTCTATTAAAACTGTTTTTTATTCATTATATTTATTTTTTTTATTTAAGTAAAGAAGTTATTAGATATTATTCAGTTCGGAATTCTTTATTAATTAGTTGAAACGACACCTTTTAAACATTTTTTAAGAAATTTACCGCCCTTGAAAAAAGTAAAAGCAATTAATGGGTCATCTCTGGTAATCATTATATAGGGTAACTGGTGGGAAGATGTCGTGTTGGTTAAGATGCCACATATTCACATATCATTTTGTTTCAGTTTCTGCTCAGATGTGGCTTCTAAGCCTAACAATTAATTATTGTTTGTTCCGTATACACTTTTGTAATTATGTAATAAAAATGTATTATGTAAAATTAATAGTTTATATTTTATACATATTTATTTCTAAAATTATAGGTTGTCTTCTAGTTCTCTTTTTATTTTGTAATAACTATTTTGTTATACATTATACATATACAACTAAAAACAGCAGATATCTTGTATTATATGTATAATGTATGTGTTTTATTAATTTATTTTAGGTATAAGATGCCACTTTGTTGTTGGGGAAGATGCCATACAATTTATAACAATTTCTTTAATGCGCAAAAAAGAGTTCCGAAATTTTTACTGAATTAATCAAAATACGCAAACTCATCGTTAGGGAATCGTTTAATGTGTGCAGCTCGTGTGGTATTACCTAGCAAATCGTTAGAATAATTAAATAGATGGAGATAGAAGGGTAAACCAGTTTCGGAAATCACCAAAAAGTCATTTGATTTCGACGAAATCAGCAGATATGATTTCGGTGATTTCGCCGAAATCATCATATCAGAGGTCAAGAATTATCGGACTATCCATAGTTTATTTTAAACTATCGATAATTATCTATAGTTTTCGGTAGTCAGAACTTATTCAGCTGGAGGAAGTGTAATGTAATGCAACTTTATTTTATTTATAAATATTTAAAACAATGGTAAATTTTTATTTAAAAATATAAACATGTTTACAGTTTTAGGCTTCAATCGTGTTCTTCGTTGTTCAATAATTTTTCCAGTTGTAATGAACACCTTTTCACTTTCAGCAGAGATCGCTGGGATGCAAAATAATTTCCGAGTCCACTGCTCAAAAGGTTTTCATTTTTTTCACCTGCAACCTAAAAATACTTCAAATAAATTAAACATCATAGTATTTTTAATCTAATTTGCCTCCCAAAATAGTAGAGGATTTGTTTCCTGACTGGCGTTAGCTTGCTCAAGATATTGCCGTTTCGTTATAATAATATCTGCTTTTAATGATTTTTGTTTTCCATTTGTTCCTTCCTTTAGAAAACCAAACAAAGCCAACTTGTTGGTCGATTCAGAGGACTTTAGTTTAGTATTATTTTGGTTTTCCTGCTCCTGGCCTTCATGAATTTTTCTCATCAGTCTAAACATTTCTTGTTCCATTAAAGCATTTTTCACACTTCTAAAACCTTCCTTTTTAAATCGAGGATCCAATATGCACCCAATTTACTAACTGTCTGAACTTCGTATGGAAATAACCTTGTCGTTGCAGCATTTAATAAATTTGTACAAAGTGTTTTTCCTTCTTCCTTTTTTAATTCAGGTAAAGTGCTGTCTAAATAAGTAAATATTCCATACGTTCGTGGAATTATCAAAGATAGAGTAATATAATAATTACCTAAAAAAAAATAAAGAAATTAGCAAGTACAGGGTGTCCCAAAAGTCACTAACTGATTTAAAATGCTTATAACTTTTAAAATACTTTTTATTCTCAAAAATATTTCTAACATTAAAGTAGAGTAATTCATGGAGATATTTTTGACCTAGTTCTTAAAAATTAGATTCTTGAAATGACTTCCATTTTCCGCTTGATACATTCTTGCTCTTTTTAGTGCATTTTGCATAGCACCTGCTAGAATTTGTTGATTTAAAATTATTATTTCATTTCGAATGTTCTCCTTCAGTTGCTCAATAGTTCTGGGTTTATTTGCATAAACTCTTTCTTTCAGATATCCCCACAGAAAAAAGTCTGGGGCTGTTAAATCAGGCGAACGTGAGGGGTACGGAAATCTGAATTTCTGAAAATTATTCGGTGACCAAAAATTTCTCTTAGGAGATCCATGGTTGCCCTGGCTATGTGGACAGTAGCGCCATCTTGCTGAAATCACATCTCTGGCATGTTTTCTAGAGCGGGCCATACACAATTTTGGAGCATGTCTCTGTATCGTTCTCCAGTAACGGTATAAGAATTGCCGTCTTCATCTTCGAAGAAGAAAGGTCCAATGCTACCTTGACTGGTAACTCCATACCAAACTGTATACTTTATTGGATGAAGTACTCGCTCATGAATCACTCTTGGGTTTTCTGTTCCCCAAAACCGACAATTCTGTTTGTTAACAAAGCCATTCAGATGGAAGTGCGCTTCGTCGCTAATGATTAAGCTGTTCAGAAAATCATTTTCTTCTATGCACGATAGCGACTCTTTGCTCAACGCTGAATTTTTCCATAACAAATCTCCCAAGCTTCTATTTTCTAAATTTGAAACAAAATTTAAAAAAAAAATCAATGTGCCCAAAATTATTCAATTTTGAAATCAGCTAGTGACTTTTGGGACACCATGTAGAAAAGATCAGCTTTTTAAGTACCTTACTTTTTTTCGTTGCCTTCTCAAAACAAAGAAATACTTTCTCGATTTCTTTAAGTATGCTGCACTCTTCTAATAAAAGAGGTGCAGCAGCCTTTTTTAACTGCAATAAGGCTCTATTAAGAGCCTCGCTGGTTTGATTTATTCCTTGAATCATGTAGAAACTACTGTTCCACCAGTAGGAACTTCCTACAACATTTTTAAGGGATCACTTCCTACATTAATGTTCTGTTCCTTTTTGAATGTTTTAATAGCCACATAGCTACCCTTTACTTTACTCTTAACTTTTTTTAAAATGTTTTTAACACATGGTAAACTATCTTGCTCTACCAAATTTATTAAATGTACAAAGGAATGCATATGTAGTTTTTGTAAAAGACTGCATGTTTTTATCATATTAGCTGCAATAACCGTCACAATGCACATTATTTTATTATCAATATTCTAATCTATAAAATTTCATTTAGAGCTTATGATAAATTTTCTGACTTATTTTATTCAGTGGCTTTTTATATAAAACAGCTGATTTTAAACAACTAGGCCTAATCAATATAGAGACATGTTACTGTCAAGTATGACTCAGTAGCTAAAGGCGTCCACGCATCGAACGTAACAGCTACTTAGTCTGTTTTTTGAAGATCTAGTTTTAATGTATTAGCAGTTTCCACAAAAGCTTAGTGTAAAAGTACTAGGTAATTCATACCTTGAAACCGTTTTAGGTTACTTGTGTTTCCACCTGTTTTATACTCTTTGCAACATGGGGTGCATTTTACAAATTTCTTGTCAGTTGACCTTGTGAAATATTTCCTTGCTGCAGAAATTCTATTTCTTTTAATATTTGAATTGGATTTGTTTTTCTTGGTATCAGTAATATCGATCACACTGTTTTCACTATCCGAGTCAACTTTATTTTTTGGAGAATGTGGTGGTCGTGACCTCCTAAATGATTTGTCAGTGTCGCTTCCTAAAAAAAATGTTGCTCCACATATACTCAAATGTAAATATCTTTTGATTTACTTACTACTGTCAGCAGATCTTGTTAATAATTTCTCCATTTTAACAAACAATAAAATAACGAGAAAATAGCACTAGATTAAACATTTAATATCGTTAAAAATGCTAAAAAGAGCAGTACCCTCACAGAATAAAATAAACTATTGAGTGTTGAGAATAAGTAAGGTTAAGTTACTGTGAAAAACTATCGATATATTTCAAAAGCTATCGATTGTTTTCGATAGTCCAAACTATTGATAATGCTCGACCTCTGCATCATATGTATTTTCCAATAAATGATCTATAAATTTTCTCCTTGAATATTTAGATGACAATATTTTGGACTAGTCACTTGTTTTTTATTGATTTGTTTTCCTCTTTACTTGTTTTTGATCTACCGCTTCAGAGCGAAACATTGATTTTGAAGTGATTCCGGTGATAATTTCGGGATTTCGGTGATGATTTCGGATTTTAGAGATAATTTGTAAATTTTAGTGATCTCCAGTGAAAACGTACCAGTATTTCGGGAGCGGTTCACTATTCGATAGAGATACTGCATTCGAGAATTGGTTCAGAGAACATATGTTTTAAAATTTAGTTACATTTCATTAGTGATGGAATTGCAAAAATAAGCTGTGGCAGAAATAATAGTATCCATTTTTCAAAAATATAGATTTTATGAAGTACGATATGATCAAAGTAAGAGTATGTTGGATGACGTGGAGAGAAGAATGTAGTGTGCTGTGACTGACAGGTACCAGTTAAAATAAAAGGACTGGTGATTTAAAACGTGCGAAAAATGGTTGCTACTTAGGACATATGCTGACTGGAAGGTACTTATTATTTCAAAAGATTGGGTCATTTAAGTGGATGATTTGCTAAAATTGCGCTACATGATGTTTTTCTCGTCGCTACTTTAGGCATTGAAAAGGTTCCTGAGTTATGGCTGAAAACCATTATTCTTAGGCTATCTGGTACGATACACTTTCTAACGAACTTCATGGTTGAATTTGGCGAGACTTGCTTAGAACCGTAGACTCCAGATAAATCCGTATATCTGTATCCATTAGATGTGGATGGTGGGTTACCCCATGGCACTTAAGCCTCAGTGCATCCTCCTAAGTTGATAGACCCATCCTAGTTCGTCAGCTAATCATATTTGATGTAGTTGACAGCATCGCCAAGAGGTGCGTCTTTTATATCGGCCAGGGTTAAACAATATTTGTCATACACAAATCATTCAATAAATGAGGTATCGCAGAGGATATACTTGATGGTCTCATCTTCTTGTTTGCACTCCCTGCAGAGTGCGAATTCTGACAGCCCCATGCTATGGAAATTCTATCTAGTCATAGTCAAACGTTTGCTGTAGTGTTGTCAGGTTAACTTAGAAGCTACCTGGCAAGTCTGCAGCTTCTTGTTTCATCCCATCTTTCTTTGAATTTCACAAAGGAATGTTCTTTAATTAGGTTTGTCACCACCGATGTCAGTTCAATAGAAGGACCAGGTCCAAAAACTGTTTGGTTAGCTGCCTTCTTGACTAGTGAATTAGCAAGACAGTTACCTTTTGATGTAGCATGATCTTTGATCAATTTTAAGGTGACCACATTGTTGATGGATACTTTGATCAAAGCTTCGTGACATTCTAGTACTGACCCTGAGTAAATTCATGATCTGTCAAGGGCGAATAGTGCTTGTCTGCTATCTATATAGATGAGTATGTTTCTTCTAGTGATTGTTTCTGGTAACTTTTTTTGCTGCTGTGAGAATCCCCGTGAACTCGGTTTGAACTAAACTGACTCTGTTGTTAACAGTCCCTTTTATGTTTAGGTTTAAGGATCTGGAGTATATTCCACATCCTGAACCTTGTTTTGTTTTAGAACCGTCGGTGTAGATATGAATCATACCTGCCACTTCCGTCTCCTTTATTTGTTCCTTTATAACTTTATATGTCTTATGGAAAATATATCTCGGTGAAATGGAGTCCATGTTCGCTTGAAGCAATGGAAGTGTATCGAGCAAATCGAGCACCTTCCGACAAAAGCGATCCTACCTCAAGTTCTATTCCAAGCGTGCTGAGTCGTGTTATTGTCATCAAAACAACCTCCTTGATGTAAATTTCAAGGGGAATGAGACTAAGAATGATTTCCAAGGCTTTGGTTGTTGTGATTATCATGGCTCCTATTGTTTTGAGACAATGCTGTTCTTTGAATTTGTTCTAGTTGGTGGATAGCTTTCAATTGTTGGGTTTTTAATATCCAGACAACAGAACTGTATAATAGCCGTGTAAGTTAGTAGTGACGACTCTAGGTGCACCCCACGATTCGTTGGCATTGTTCATAAGCAATGTAACCTTTTTTTGATTCTGTTTTCTAGGTAAATCCGTATATTTGAAGCCTGCTTCTTTCCAGGGTGGAACATGAGGTAAAGTGATAGAAATACCACAAGTCTTCTGACAAAACAGTATCGCATTTTTAGTTACAGTTTGCACGTGTCTTCTTATTTCAGTTCGCTTTGTTGTTGCTTAGCAGCGTAAACTTTATTAAGGTACGTTTACACGAATACAAAAAGATTACGTTTTACATTTTGTCTACAAATTTTAGAACAATTTTCTTTCGTACTTTATAAATAAATTTCCCAGCTGAACATTGGTTCTTTGTTAAAAAAATATATTATAACAAGAGGCACAGAAAATATTTATTGGATAACTAATTTTTTTTAATTAATATAATTTTCTTCACAAAAGGATTCTGATTCAGACTCATCACTACTTTCCGTTGTACCCAAATTAATAATAATTGGTTCTAGATCGGAAACATCTAATTGCTTGTATTTGTACCAATCGGAAACAATTGTATTACATAATTGTCCCACTGAGCATCGGTAACATTATTCAAAGCTTCTGACCAAGTCTGAAATACATCTTCCGGTGACGACTTTGTTGTTAAAATTTTTTCTTCATAAAACCGTTTGCATTGTGACCACACCATCTCTATCGCATTGTACTGGCAGTGATATTGAGGAGTTCTTAATATTTTATCCATATTCCTCAACATATCTAGGTGGAATTCTTTTCGTGGTAGATTTTGACGTACAACTTCCCAAATCTAAGATTTTATACCATTGATTGGATAATTAACGTTCTTTTCCTGCAGCCATTTTACCATTTTTGATTGATTACTAAATTATTTCACCATTTTGTTGAATACTTATAAAAACTTTTGAAATATCAAAATATACAAATTTTGTACAAATTGACAAATTCAAAATTATTGCCATCTGACATAATAACATGATGTAAATTAATCTACGACGACGTGTCAAAATTTAGTAACTTTCTGTTTCATCCATTTTACATTTAAATAATAAAGAAAGCGAATGGACTTGGGGCATTTCCGAGACTATACCCTCCCATTAATTTTGTAGAATGATCAGTCAAATACAGTATGGTATTCAAGGCGCGTCTTTTGATATGCATGTTAAATTTATGACGTCAGCTGTATTGATATAGCAGTTTATATTGACCAATTTTTATTATTGTAGTTAGAATAAAATAATTTTGTTTTTTTAATTAATAAAGTGACATGTTAGACATGGTGGAAGCTTTGCTAATGTGGAAGACTTAAGTTTTTGTATTGTCTTTCATTCGCTGTTCATTCGTTTGTTTTTTTGTCTTTTTTGTATTTTGAAAGTATTTAAATATTTCGGTTTAGCCACAAAGAAAAAAGATCTAATTCTGTAATTTTTATAGTATAGCATCCATAATCCTAATTTTACAAAATAACTTAATATTTATCATTATTTAGTTTCATTAGAATAAAGGGAATGACTAATCTTTTTTAACACTGTATTCATTTAAATTTCTAGCGTTTCTCAAAATTTAACAATTTGTATTCTAGTTTCTGTTGATTTTATAAAATTTAAAATGTTTCTAAAGGCAATTTTTTTTAGTGATTCTTTAAGTAGTAGTTTGTATTTATTAAAATTTGATTTCGTCTGTTAGGTAGGAAGCCACTTTTTGAAAGTTCTCTTAGATTTAAGATTTTGTGATTAGCTGGGTATGGCATCTTCTCCCCAGTTACCCTATGTTCGAAATTTAAATTAAATTTTATTATATTCTGATTGGCATTAAAACTGTTTATAAATGTATAGGTATAAACGACTATCATTTCTGCTGCTTACAGAAAGCTCCATCCAAATATATGAAGAATCTTCAACTTGAGTGAATTAGAGACTGTTCATCTTATCTATAAAATGAGGTATTGTAAATATTTAGTTGATTTAAGTAGTTTGTATTGTTTTTTTATAATTTACATTTAACCTTTTTTGTTTCGTTTTGTTTCCTACTACATTAAGTGAATACTATTTCTCTAAACTTTTATGTATAATACTTTTTTGCTAAGCGTACAAATTATTTTTTTTCTAATCTTTTATTGTCTGTCTATGATTTCTAATAAGTCCCAAAATATACAATAAGATTTATTTGTAATTATCTTTTACCCTATATTATTTTTACCTGTATATATTTTATAAATGTTGATACTTATATTTTATTTATTATAAAATATTAAAAAAATCTGTGTTTTATTTCAACTATTCATTCAAAGTTCCTTTGTGTCACTCAATAAAATAACGAGTTTTATAGCGCTTTTGTCGATTTGAGATTATATTTCTTTGTAGTCAGATTTATAAAGTAAACAAATCAATTATCTATAGATAATGGTAATGAATTCAAAATTTTAATGCTGTTGTAAATTACTGATGCTTTGATCAAGGTATCAAAGCCAAAATCTCCAGAAAATGTAGCAGATCTAATATCATTGTATTAACAATCTTTGATTTTATGCAGTGCGCTAACATCTCAGACAAAACAAATGAATAATAGATAACTAACGGTCTGGATTTGTTTGAAGACAGTTTGACCCGTTTTTTTCTATTACTTTCTCTTTCTCCTGGGTCTTTGATGTGATTTGTCTATTTTAAATAGCGCCAAAATTTTCTTACAACTGTCAACAAGCACTTTGGAACTGTCAGTTTTGTTTATACATAGATAAATGAACTAAACTATACCTTTCATTTGGCCCGGTGTAAAATCCACTACACCTTCCTGTTGGCGATGTGGTGTCCACTGGTGGATGTTTTCTCCACCAACTATTTAGCAGGAGCGAATTACATTCGACATGTGTATAAGAAATAAGGAGGAAGTAAACTAGGTAAATAAGATGGTGTAATTGACACTGGTGCACACTGCACCATGCACACTGCACCAACAGCGAACGAAAGAACCTTTTGTGTGATTTTATATTCTTAGGACATATTTTTAAAGTTTTTAGAGTTTCTAGATTTTTTTAACGAATTTTGTTAGTTGTAAGTCTAAAAATTACTATTCAATACCTGTTTGCCCTAAAACATACATTTGGAGAAGTTCCATGTCGTTTCAAAGGTAAGTAATTAAAAAACATGGGGTGTACGTATATTGTAGAATATTATTAGTAATTTTTTATGCAGGATTCCTACAAACTTTGAAGCAATGGAAATTTGAATTATAACCTAGAATTAGGAACGGTTGAAGTCTTAGAGCATATAAGACTAGAGATATCATTCAATGTATTTTGTTATGTATTAGCGGGGTCATCACTTTTGGCGTGTGGGGAGAGGGGCAGGTACTCCATTCTCAATGGCGTACGGTTTGAAAGGTTTCTTATTTATGTTTACTATTTATGCACTGTAATTTCACAATAACTAATAATTTAGATAATTGATTTGCATGATTAATAAACAAATTTATTAAACAATGTTATTTTTCTATTTATGTTAAGCTTTCGTTATACACACTGTAACTGTATTTTATACATGTTTTCCTGGAAATGATATATGTTCCTTTAGGATTGAACAGTTTTTTTTATTGTAGATATGTTTTGAAACTGTATGCTTTCAAATGAATTCGTGATTACACATTATTTTCGTTTAGTTCAAGTAGACCATTTAGAAACTGAAATCTTTTTTATATAGAGTAAATAAAAGAAAAAAACAATTTATTTCTAGAAGTAATAATATTAAATATACATGTTTTATAATAAAATTATTAATAAAACATAGTTATTGGTTATGTCTAGATATAATATATGTGTGTAAAAGTAAGCTATTTATAAAACAAACAATGAAATAAACATTAATGCTACCGAATTCTCATGAAATTTATTTATTTATTTGTTTAAGTCACCACTTAACAGTTAAAAACCAATTACCAATGGTATGAATACAGAAAAAATACATTTTATTCGTAAGATATATATCATACACATTTTCAGGAGAAAAATGTTCAGTTTCATTTTACTGTCTATATTATAGCACAAAACATTTTAAAATTATCACACAAAACTTACATACTACTAATATATACACAATAGATACTATACAGGGTGTAACTAAATAAGTGTAAAACATTTAAGGAGGTGATTCCTCATCGAAAAAAAGATAGGATCTTTCATATAAAAAACTTCATTGGAGCATCCCTTGTTAAGATACAGCCCATTAAAGGGGGTACATAAAATTTGTTTAACAATTTTTTTTACAAGCACTAAATAAGTTAAACAAGGTAAGTATTGTTTTAAAATTATATATTTATATAAATACTACAATTATTATTTGAAAAACATGAATTGATAAATTATTTGTACAATGTAAATCTGACTTTGGGATTGTCACCCGTTTGAACCGATACAATGGGTTTGTTTTAGTTCAAACAGAACTGCCAATTCCAGTTCTCAAATACAGTTGACGACTTCATTTTTCAAGAATACGTCGCGATGATAATCGACGCATTGAGCTGAACGAGTGTAATTCACTGATTCTGAATTAGTTCGCGAAATAACCAAAACAAGCCTAATAACAAAACAGGACAGTTCCGGGAGTCGGAACTTATTTATAGCAAATTTCCTCCTCTTTAAGGATCTTTTTTGAAAAATCCAAAAATATTTATAGTTTACAAACTATAGGCGAAAAACCAAACACCATGTTTTTGAGGTGTTTAATTGTTTATAACTTTTGCAATTTTTTATACACTGCAAAATTTTTCTTCACACATTGATCTAGACATTATTCCGAATCGAATGAGCTATTGAATATAATTTTCGTAATAGTATGTCCCAAAAACACGTTTTTGAAATTGTTGATTAGACTATTTGTAGAGCACAAGAAATAGACGCTAATGTAGACGTGGACAGCAGTGGACAGTTTGTAAATATAAAAGTCGGTTAGTTTTATGTATATCGAAGAATCCTGAATTAAAATTTTAAATTTTGAGTTCATGATTGTGTTATCTCCTAGATGAACTAAGCGAACTGGTTGTGGCTGTTTTTGTGTGAAATTTGAAGACAATACTTATATTTTGTAATATTAAAATAAGTCCGAGAACGTATTGCCACATATTGCCACATGAATAAATTTAACAACCCCAATGTGGCGTTCTTTAATTAACCAAAGTAAGATCTAGTGAAGTAAGTAACACAAATAGTAACCAGCTTTTGTCACAAAGTAGGTATTTATGTATTATTTATTGTTTTAGAACAAGAAAATGGCTTCAAAACGTTAGAAAGAAGATTTGATATAGGAAGAAAAATATCTGAATTCCCATTATTGAGTTTGCACTCAACATTTTTAAATAAGACACCATTGGCCATTCGTTTGGAAAATAAAAAACAAAAATGTAATGTAACAAATAACGATCAAAAATTAAAAAAATTGTCTGGAATAGATTTACAATAATTAATCTACAATAGACTGTAAGTGTAGTATTCTTTTTAATAAATAATTTAGCGTAATTACATTGTTTAAATTTATTTACAGGATCATGAGAGTGCAGTCGATATTTATAAAAGCTTTATCAGGTGTTTGAATTTCCCGCTGCGTTGTTTGATATCGATGAAAGCGCCACATAGTGGGTCAGATGTTAACTGCGTTAAGGCTGGTCGTTGTTAAGCATTGGCTTTTTATGAGTGTTTCTTATCTTTATCTCCCTTATATACATTTAAATCTAATCTTCTATCACGTGAAAAAACACATCTCAGGTGCATCCGATGTGGATGGAACAGCAAATAATGTTTATTAATTCTTTAACAAAACAAAATTAATTTTACAAGCCTAATTTGAAATACACTAATTTTCAATACCAACAAACTGTTACATTTAATAATTTTTATTTATGATAGCCTGCCTTTCAATTTTTTTAATATTCACATGTAAATCTTTGTAAACTACATCTAATAACAGAGATAATAAAATAATAAAAAAATAACAATTTGCGAAAAGATGAGGCTAAAGTAGGCTATTAATTATTACATGCTATTACTGGCACACTCCAGAGGATGTTACAAATTTTCCAACCAAAAATCTATATAATTATTTAAAGAATCAAAAAGATTACTATTCCTGAAGAATCAATCTATCATCAAAAAAAAAAAGAATATCCAAAACGATCAAACGGTTCAGAAAAAAAAGTAGCTTCAAATTTTTGGCGTAATTTTTTAATAATTTGTTATATAATTACTATTATTTATGGACATTTGCATGTCTATAAATTACATTTCATGGATATAAAATAGATATCTACCATGGACTGGACATTCAGTGGATATTGGGATGTTCAGTAGATATCCAAAGGATTTGTTGTGCTGTCTGGGTACGCGCCATTTCTGTATTAAATCTATGAAAATTTGCTGCTTTTTGTTTTAATATGTAGTAGTTTTTAAATGGGAGCATTTCTCGCTTTTTTTCTTAAACGTCTCTTTAGGGTGCTGCCTTATCGTTGCCAAGTATAAAACTCTCAATATTCTCAGGACACATAATATCACGAAGCATTCCCAGTAACGCGCCTATAAAATAAATTTTATATTAGAAATTCCTTAAGTCATTTTTGCCATCGCGAGAGGGCTGGTTTGCTCTTAAGAAAAAATTATTTGAGTAAGATATTCGTAATTAAAATCTGAGGATTTTCAGAGGTTCCGTATTTATCCCCGTATTTACCCACCCTTATCAATTTCAAATGCTCAAACAAGGAATTCCTGGTTCGTAATTCATAAATAAAAAATGGACATTCTACGTCATAGTTTTCAATCTACTTTCTCTAAATATCCTTTGGAATAATAATGGATTTACTATCAGAGCAATCATATTGTATTTTATTTATATTGTTCAAACAACAAATTATTATAATGAAGGTATATTTTATTTAATTCAGTAATTTTATTCTAGATAAGATTGAATAAACAAACCCTATTAAGTAAATAATATTGTAACGATTCTATTATAGCGCCCATACGAATTTGATCATCTATTGTATGATTTTAGTTTTTGATAACAGAACGAACGGAATGAGACATTTTAAAAAACAAAAATAATTGGGTAAGTAAATTTAATCTATTCGTTAAGAAACTGGTCTTACAATAATTGAGATGCCAAGTATTTCGTAATAAAATATTTTTAGCATCTTAATTTTATTAAGGCAACAAAATTTAGTACTGAACTATTTTAAATCTGCCTAAAAAACCTGTTTATAATTTTTTTGATAGGTTCCTATATTAGGCTGGGCCGAAATATACATATATTTAAAAAATATAAAAATTAAGTTTACAATACCTATCAAAACTTGCGTTTTGCTGTGCTTACTTTTCGTATTTTTTTAAAATTTCTAAATCCACATTTTCAGCACTCTACCGCCTCCTTTAGGGGTGAAAAGTTAAAGTTTGAAATGTTGACGTACAATAAGTATTAAAAGTTACATTTTGTGTTTGTATTCAAAATTTATTTTTAAATAACATCTTCAGTCCTCTATTACCCCTCTTAACCAATGTTTAATCCTTTTGCCTTTAAAGGATAAGGTAAAAATTACTTAAACAACAAAATACATATTACACGATTAAAACTAAACAACACATTTATTTAAAAAATGGTAAAAAGTACCTAAAGAAATCAAACATGAAAAGCTAACAAATTAAACATAAAAGCTTACAAATAAAATTTAAAAAGCTGACACATCAAGTACTTTCAAATGTTGCTATAATTTCTTTCGATTTTATTCTGCGAATCAAGCCGTCTCTTGAGTCTGGACCAATGCTCGCATCTCTCCACGGATTGAGTATGGCAAGGGAACTTCGGAAAATCAAAGTCTGGAATTTCGGTTTCGTTTATATGGTCCCTAAGATTATCCTCAGTAAAATTCCTAAAAACAGGAGGCGGTGTCACATCGCACTCATTCCAGTAAATTAACTCAAAGTAGTCTGTAGCACTGAAATTAATTTTTGGTACCAGAAAGTGTCTTAGTACAACGGTTTCTCGACTGGTTCCTCTAGCTTTTAAGATTCTTCGTAGATCATACAAAGAAACGTAGGCCGAACGCGCTCGCTTCGCTGGCTGTCTTCTGCGTAAGTGTGCTCTAAGGGGGAAAAATGGCGCGCCCGGACTACGTTTCGAAATTCGCGCAAATTTCGAAACGTAGGCCAGGCGCACTCGCTTCGCTCGCTCTCTTCTGTAGTAGTTAGGAGGTAGGTGGGACAAACGTAGCATGCTCTTATGATGTAGATGGAAAAGGCGCGCCCGGCCGACGTTAGGTTAGTCAAAGACGTTGTTTGCACCTAAATTGTGATTTCATTAACTTATTCCTACTCATCCATTCTAATAACTATTCATCAGTTTTATTATAAACTCTCATAACATCTATTATGTAATTAATGTCCATTTTACATAAAGTCAGTAATTACTACTTAAAAGATTTAAATGCCACAACACAAAAATTTAAAAGTAAAAAATCATAGATACGTATGTCTCTTTTCTTATCCTATACTTGGTGTCCTATTCTATGAATATAAAACAATACCATAAATGTTTGGTGAATAATACATGTTCGATGTCAATAATAAGACAATAAGCTATAAAACTATAATTTTTGATTAAATTTTTCTTAAAAATTCGTGATTTTTCATAAATTTTTAACTTACTGTATAAAACAAGTACTTTTTAGTGCTTCAAATTAGCTCTGAACTCTCACCAATCTATAAAGTCTAGACACATAAAACCTGGAGAAACTTTGATAATATAGCAACCTTGCAAACTCAACTACTCCATGTGTCATGTGCTAACAAAGGTAATTTGATGATTTATATTTTTTTCATTTTATATTTTATGGAAGTAAATGGTTAAACAGACAATACAATGAACTTAATTTTAATATAAATTAAATTAGCAAATGAAACATAATTTTCGATAGATATCTAATTTCAGTTAAAATGTAACAAAAGTAAGTTACTTCAGTTACACTATCATTAAAACTTCGGAATTTGTCACCTACATATAGTATGATAAAACCAAAATAACCTATAAAATTACAACTTTTAATTAATTTTTCATGTACATAATATAGTGGACACTGGCGTGAATATCTATAATGTCTATTAATTTGAGAAAACAGTTTATATTCAATTCGTTGTTAAAAAATAATTATATTCTAACTTTCTAAAGTAATCTAAGATGTTATTGTCAATTAAAGAAATTGAAGTAAACCAGATCCATTCTAATTTTTTATTCAGATGGTGAACATGTGAATACCTACTTAGAATTACAAATTAGTTAAAATTAGGTATTGGAATGCCAAATAGAGATTAAAACTTATTGCATAACTGAACGATTCATTATTGAGAACATCAATAATTAAATATCTATATTATGTATAATAATTTGTTATTAGATTAATACCAACGTAATGAATTAACTATTATTTTATCAAAAATAAACAGTCCATATAGGTATTAGACCGAGAACTGAGGTAAACATTACCTTATCTCTCAGATTAGAAATATTATGTCATAATTCAAAAAAATATATTGTATACCGGGTGATAAAGAGACCAGGGCCACGTTAATATTTTCTTTAGTTTATGAAGCGATTAAATCAAATTTTAGATAAACACTAGACATAATTTCGAATGAACACTTACACTTAAACAAAATGAACTCAGCGGTTGGTGCCAACTGAGCGTGTCTTCAGGTGGTGGATAGAAGAACCACCAGGATAGAGTGAGAGAGCCTATAAACTCTCAAAATCTTTTGCAAAAGCTACCGTCGGGAACCAATTCCCCCAATCTAAGGTGTAAGGTAACAAACGTTCCTTTTAGGATATCTGGCAACACTCTCTTGTATCTAGCTTTGCCGGTATATGCATGGCTAGGCGTTTGTCGACTCTTCTTTCCCTAGCTACTCGTGGTAACCTTATGGATTCAAACCTACACAATTTCAAGGAGGCTGGCCGTCAACGTTCACCTCCAACAAAGGAGGCAGGACATCAACGCTCACCTCTAGACAAGAAAGTTGCACTTCAAGTTTCACCGCCAGCAAAGGCGGCTGGACAGCAAAGTTCAACTCCAGTACAGAGGCTAGACAGCGACGTCCACTTATAAAATAGAAGATTTGACATCGTAGTTTACCTCAAACTGACAGGCACCAGAGAGGTAAGATCTCTGGTTCTGAAGCAACGAGGAAGAAGGTTAAACTGAAGGCAGGCAGAGCTACGGCAACTGTCAACCCAATCTAAGCAACCCAATCAAGTTTTTGGGTAGCGACGCTAGTTCTGCCTCCACAAGTGGCCAGGAACACGACGCAACCAAGGACAAGAAAAGGCCGCGATCGGTTACAACTCTGAGGAGCCACACAAGACCACCCCCTTCCTCTTTCGGAGGAAAGGATGGTCAAACACTAACCTCAAACGCTGCCCAAACTTCAACGAGGGATCGAGAAGCAATTAAAGAGGTAAAGTTTATCCAATGTAACTTGCAACACAAAATGGTGACCACGACAATATTATGCCGTCGCCTTGATGAGTTGCAAGAACTCTGGATAATAAAAACCAAAATTGTAGGTCTAAAAAATCTAAATGGTTAAATTTCTAGCTTTCCCAGCAACTTAGGAAAGTACTCAAACACTATCCAAAGCAGTGAAGTAAAATTCTCTAGAACGTATTTTTGGAGAACATTCCCCGAGCACGAACGAGCATGGACGATAATAAACGAGAATAAATGAAAAACCAGAGAATTTGTGTTTGAGGAGGGGTAAAGTATTCAAAAACTTACTTTTGCGGTTATTTCCGAAAATGCTTAAAATTCTTAAAATGTTGAAAATGCCCAATATTCTCCATAATTTTATATATTCCCTTCATACGAAAATGAAACTGTATTAATATTTAGTGTTGCAAATAATATAGTAATAACTTTTAACATTAAGAAAAACATAAGTTAAAAATGGCTAAATTTAAGTAACATAACATGAGTAATATGTTAAGTAAAATGACAAGGCAAAGTGAAGTGTGATAATTGGTTGAGATCCAACAAACAGATGCAATTTTAGAAATATGAAAATATGTAATCCCCAATTCCCCCTACTATCACCCCTCCAGCAGCAGTCCTGCAATGACGCTGATTGTCCGAGATCGTGCTGAAAATTCTCGTTGGTCCTAAATGTACTCTCTGGAAAACGTTGCGCACGTTAGATCGTTTGTGCGCAGAAGGACGATCTATTATGCGGGCACGAACGATTTATCGGGGGCGAACGTTCCCCCACAGTACGAAGAAAACGTTCCCCCCTTTATATAATAAATCCAAAGCACAATAAACAATGCCTAGAAGAAATCCTGCCCCCTGAGACTGGTCCAACATGATCAGATGGTGGTGTCACGAGTTGGATCACCCCAGGAAGATGGCTAGGAAATCTTTTAATAAGGCAAGAACCACAAAACTCAAAGACGACTGGGATACTTGCAAATATCACCTCAGAGAATACAAAAAAATCGTTAGACAAAAACAGAGGGATGTACGGAGATTCTACTGAGAAGAAATCGAAGATTTGCCGCAAGCAGCGAGGCTTCAAAAAGCTCTTTCAAGAGATCTACACCGCAGTATTGGTGCGGTAATCAAAGAGGATGGTATGAAAATTGCAAAGATTAAACTTCTGCTATTAACACACTTCCTCGACTCATCACAGACATGGCCGACTGGGCAGAGGAAGAATACAACCCATTAGACTACGATTGGCAAATTAGCAAACACATTGTAGACGTTGAGAAAATTAGATGGACAATATCTAGCTTCTCTCCATTTAAATCGCCAGGACCTGACGGTATCTATCCAGCCCTTTTTCAGTGAAGTCTGGAAAAACTCACTCCGCACCTGGTATGTATATTCAGGTCCTCGTTGGGTCTGAGGTATGTACGTCAAAAATGGAGAGAGGTAAGTTGCCTTATATCGACTAATTAGCCTGATATCGTTTTCCATGTAGATATTTGAAAGGCTATGCGACAAATAGAAGAGCCGGATGTGGAATATACTCCAGATCCTTAGACCTAAACATAAAATGGGCTGTGAGCAGTAGTGCCAGTGTTCATTGGGATTGTCATAGCAGCAAAAGAAATGACCAGAAATAATATCACTGGAAAAAGCATGCTCAGCTCACCCTGGACAGACTACGAATTTACTCAGGGTTAGTACTAGAATACGAAGGTTTGGCTGAAGTATCCATCAACAATGTGGCCACCTTAAGATGAATCAAAGGCAACGCCACATCGAAAGGTATGGCTGATTCTCTAGCCAAGACGGCAGCCAATCAAATACTTTTTAGAACTGGCTTTTCTATTGGACATAACATCGGTAGTGACAAACCTAATTAAAGAACATTCCCTTGTGAAATTCAAGGAAAGATGGGATTAAAGAAGAAGCTGCAGATTTTCCAGGGAGATTTTAAGTTATCCTGACAACACTACAGAAAATAAATATGACTAGACAGAATCTGTGCCTAGTCATAGGCATTCTGACTAGTCATTGCCAACTACGAATTATATTGACTTATATTTGAAACTGTCCGAAACTTCGTTTTTCTAATTTATTCTACCAACTCGGTGAAAAAATGCCATTTGCATTCAATTTCCTATTTTAATAGCTTGCGGCTCGCGTTGAGTTATTTTGAAATTAACCTAAAAAAAAACAATCGAAAAGATCAACTTTGAACCAAAATTTGCCACATTAGGTTTGTGTTTAATTGATTAAAATATAGTTGTTCGTTTATATTCCATGGCTATTTTCTTTTTAATCTGCATTAGAGAAAGGAAATTACCGTCGTTGTATAACGTATAGCTAATGAGTACAAAATATAACTATAAAAGAGGAGTCACTCGCCCAATTACCGCCTTCTAACGCGATCAGCCACCAGTCCTCCACAGTCCTTTCTCGATCGGCAGTATACCGGTGTAGTTCAACGCGTTCCACTATCATCGCCGCCGCGTCTTACCGCTTAACCCCGGTATAGCCGAATTAGCTCTGTACTCTTTGAAAAAACGCCGACTTGTCGGCCCGCATTTAAAGCGCGATTTCCTTTGTAAATGCCGCGAGTGACTTCTCTTTTATAGTTATATTTTGTACTTTTTGGTATAGCTTAAAAAAGAAATAGAAGATGTTAAATTTAAAATGCAAAAAATGCAATGTTTCTCTTTGCAAAACTTGTTTTGGGCCATTCCATTCAGAACAAGTATTGTAAAAATTACTTAACCATATTTATTTTTATACTTTGTTAGAATATCCTTTTTTCTTTTAAAAAGTTTATTCTGGTAGCTATGTTTATCAGCGCTTTTAATACTTTTTCAGTTTCAAGGACTTTTGGTAGCTATTAGGCATTCCAACGACCTGTCAAACAATAGGTGCCAGTGGGAAATTATTGTATATTTAAGGGGGGGTAGCGACATAGTCTTGCAACTTGGACGCTATTTTTATTCGAAGTAGTACTCGCCAAGCCTGCCAATTTATGAAGAAATGTATAGGTGGGTTTTTTAAATATTATTTTTATTGTGTTTGATATAAAATATTTAAATGTAATCCATTATTCATGATTTTACGTAAAGTAGATAGAATACACCATATGTCGCCACCCTTAGATATACCAAACCTGCCCACTGGTAATTCATTTGTTTGGAATGCCTAATAGTTAGGGTCCGATTGCAATTAGACATTCCAACGACCTGTCAAACAATAGGTGCCAGTGTGAAATTCTTGTATATCTAAGGGGGGGGTAGCGACATAGTCTTGCAACTTGGACACTATTTTTATTCGAAGTAGTAGTCGCCAAGCCTGCCAATTTATGAAGAAATGTATAGGTGGGTTTTTTAAATATTATTTGTATTGTGTTCGACATAAAATATTTAAATGTAATCCATTATTCATGATTTTACGTAAAGTAGATAGAATACACCGTATGTCGCCACCCTTAGATATACGATATACCAAACCTTCCCACTGGCAATTCATTTGTTTGGAATGCCTAATAAGAAGAACACAGCTACGTCATCATTTGGCAAAGTAATTAATTGGTTATCGCCGCCTACTGGGGGTTTAGTGGAGTGTTAATATTATAGGAATATAGGAAATATTGTTTTATACCTAACAACTTACTTTTTCTTTATTTATTGATAATTATAGAATTCGAAATTCGAAGTAATGGTTATGACGTAACTGTGTTCTTCCAATTGTAATCGGACCCTACCACATTTTTTTTGTGTATTATTACAAAATTTAAAGTCAAAGTTTAATACCTACTGTCTGATTAATTTGTAATTTTTATTTTTAGGAATCGCTACAAATGAAACTATCAGTACTTCTTGAAAATCGTCTGAAAAACACAAAAATGATAATTACGAATAAACCAGAAATAGTTCAATACAAGCAGAAAAACCTAAATAAAACTAAATACTGTGTATGCAAAACTCTAGGTCCGGCTTTAATGCTTGCAAGGCTTTTTGGAGTATTTCCGGTATCATGGCGACACACGACTGAAAAGTGTGTCTACGAAAAATCTTTGACTTGGTTGATTTACACTGGTTTTGTTATAATATTTCAAATCTTCGTAACTTACTCAAACGTGAACTATTCAAATCTTTTAAATGCAACATTATTGGTTATTATAGATAATTTAACGAATCTATATTACAGCCACTATGTTGTTCTGATCACATTATTGGGATTTTTTAAATTCACTGCTTATATTACTACTTTAAATACTCTGGCTTCAACTCTAAAAGATGGAGTCTTATGTCAGTCAGCTATGAGAAGAGTCGTGTTGCTGCAATATGCAATTTTTGCTTCATTGGCGTTAGTTGCTACATTCCAAATAATTCTGTATATATGGCTTAATAATTCAACGAGTTATGAAGCCAATTTCTCTATAATGAATATTTTATACAGAATGTTTATGAATTTCTCTTTCGGTTTATACGCAGTAGTTTTTACCATATTTGGATTGTTGATAGGATCGTTAGCTTGCTTTGAAAAATATACCTTGAATTGTCTCAAATATGTTCCTGTACATCCTTTAAGAGATATCGATGATTCCAATAACTCATCTGATTTTATGGGAATTATACATTATAAACTTTGCACCGAAAACCATTTCATCACATCGCAAATGTTGGATTTAAAACCTGCCGACGTGGTTGAAAATTTAAGAATATATCACGAAGAATTTAGTCTATGCATATACAGTTGGAATAAGAGTATGGATCTACTTTTTCTAACCCATACCGTTATGGAATTGGCAGTTCTGATTGTCGATTGGTATGCCGTTATAGCTTACTTGGTATATAGTTTTAAGGCTCCAATAGCTGCTACAATGAACATTCTGAATTTATTTTATGTGGTGTCTCATACGTATGGGTTGTTCCTGTTTTTGAAAAATTGCCAGGCTTTAAAAAATATTGTGAGTATTTTTATTTTTCCGCACTGTAACTTCTAAACACCACTAAGTGACGTCATAATGCAGGGTTGTTCAGGTTGAGGTTTTACCTTCCGCTAGTACGCCACAGTACTTACCTTTTTAAGAAAATATAAGTAGGGCAGTCCCTTGTAATGATCCTTGGACAATAAAGAGTTCGTAGACATAGAAGGTGCTTTTAACAGAAACAATTTCCTCAAGATAATACGCTCACTAACCAACAGGAATATTCCACAGATGGTAAGTGGGTGGATGCCTAACATGCCCTCAAAGCGAGCAATAAATATAGGAAGCTGTGAATATAAGAAGCTTAGTTGCGAGGGGATGTCTACAGGGAAGGGTACTATCACCTATACTATGGAACATGATCCTCATCACCCGCCTCAATAAAGACAGTTTCTATATGATTGCAAATTTTAAGAATATACTCTGCGAAAGAATGCAAGTAACTCTCAAAATTATAGAACAGTGGTGCAAAGACAATTCACTGTCTATCAATCCCGAGAAAACAAAAATGGTCACAAGAAAAAGGATGAAAATTGATCTAAAACCTACAGAGCCCAACCGTGGGTCGCACCTCGGGTCTTTCTCCCCGTTATCACAGTGGAAGATGAGTTAAACATAAAAGAAAATATAAAATTGTACAGTGAAATGCCAGAAGATGATTAATTATTATACAAACTGACTCAACTAAAGTGAAAATTCGTTGATTTGGCAAAAAAGTTTCGAGTAGTAACCGGTTGAACGTCTCTCTGATATTCTCCAAAGATCATTTACAAATAGCCTGGTACTTCCGTGCCCAGCTTAAAAGGTCTGTCTTCCCTTATACGCATGTAGACCCATAACGTCGTAACAAAAAATTCTTGTCTTCTCTGAAATAAAATGCTTACTCCTTAATTTTAGAATATCAGTTTATCAATAAAAAAATCGTTTCATCTTTAAACATGCGTGAGAAAAAATAAATTAAAAATACAGGAAATATCAATAGAAATAGTATAAAAAGCCAATTCCGTACATCAAAAGTGAAACCATGCGCATGCGCATTACGATGTCGGCATAGGCAGGACCGGCTCAAGTTTTATATTGATCGAATACATAAGTGAACATACACGATGTTTCATGTTATCAGTCATACATTTTTAGAAGTATTTTATATAAAAATAGGTCAAGTAAACATGGTTCTGAAAGTCCTTGTTAAGGGCGGTGTCTGGCCCTATCTTAAAAACTGTTTATCTGGACAATTTAGAATTTTTTTACAAAATCATTAAAGGAAAATACTTAAAATGTTTTTAACTTTGTAACTTTCTGTTATATCACGTGATATATCACATAAAAAAAAAATCTATATAATTTTAAACTTAACTTTCAAGAAAACTATTTTAAAGTGTGATGTGTTTCATTATTTTCCTGTGTTAGTTGTAGGGGTTAACGGGGTAAAGGATAATGAGAGTGCAGATAGTCTCGCGAGGAAAGGGGCTCAAATACCCTTTGTGGGATCTGAGCCGTTCTGCGGTATCAGCAGTAAAACCATATTAGGTGAGATTAAAAAAGAATTGGGCAGCAGAAGAATCGATAATTGGAATAATCCCTTGGGGGTAAGATAGGCTAAGATACTTTTGGGTAAATATAACAAGGAAAGATCGGAAGCACTATATTTAGGAGCGTATCAAATAGAAGAGGGAGATTTACCTAACTTGAAGCCACTTCAAATCCTATGTTTCCTTGAGAAGATAGGATTGGAAGGGTTGTTATAAGCATTGAGGGGGGTTGGTTGTAGCTTGGCCATTGCTTTGTAGTTTAGATTGCTTGCTTGCACACTCGCTTAACACGCCTGCTTTGTAGGTAGGTAACTTTTCTATAGGACGATGGAGAAATGCATCGAGTGCCTGCCTCCTCGTGGCACCACTGGATAAGGCCAATAGCGATGCTTCAAGAAGCACCACTATTGACTAACCAAATGCCATTCCATCAAAGCCCAACGCCACGGTGTAAGGTAACGTGCCTAAGGATGAATGGCCGCAGAGCTTAATATGCGGTTGCGAACGTTCCCTTGGGGGAACCGGGCGAAACCCCCAAGTATCTAGCCTTGACTCTGTACTGGGGGCACTGCAGAGTTGGACTAACCCCTTCCCCCATACTCGTGGGAACAAATGAGTGAAAATAATTTAGAAAAAATGGACACCCAAGGAGAAGAGTCGGATACAGACGACTCAGGCTCCTTGAACATGACTGTCGGAGAGACTGCGTTAGCTTTGGACTCCGACAACTCAAGGGAAGGAGGAACTGCGAAAGCAGAGGACTCTAACCCCTTAGCAAGAGGAGGATCTGTGAAAACAGACGACTGCTCCCAAACAAAAGAAAAGGTCAAAAAAGCAGGTTAAGCCTGCTGATAGACCGAAAAAACCTTCAGGAGCGGAGAGAAAGAAGCTTCTGAAGGAAAGAAAAATGGCTGCAGGAACGTGGACGGAGGAAAATCCCCACAAGAATGCAGCCCAAAAAACGAATCCAACGGAGGGAGGACCACACGAAGAAAGGGGATAAAAGGCCCCGATCTGAGTCGCAGAATCCCCCCCACTCGAAGTGGAACTAAGCGGGCCAGAAATGCTCCGGCATCGGCTGGCTCGTACAGCGACACTTTGAGGGGTATCCGACTGGCTGTTATCCAGAGAAGGCATCCAGATACAACTCTAGACCAAGAACAAGGAGACTTGGTACAAGACACTCTTGTGGAAAGGCTCTACGCTACCCCTTCAGGCAGTGGAGGAGCACCACAGTTCCACAAAACATCGTTTAGCGCAGCGGTCATTTGGATGACCTGCGCTAACCAGCAGACCGCGGACTGGTTAAGGAGGACGATCAGCACTCTGGAAAACCTTTGGGAGGGTGCGGATTTGACCGTGGTTGAATCTAAGGACCTCCCGAGAAGACCCAGGGTTCTGGTTTTCATCCCGGACGAGTCCGAGGTTGAAAAAGTCAGGGGACTTCTTCAGCTCCAGAATACGGAACTGAAGACGCCGGACTGGCTTCTAATGAGCAGAAAAATTGAAAAGGGAAGGCAACGCCTAGCCTTTTCTATTGACGAAGCGTCGTACAGGGCCCTCGAGAGGTCACAATTCCGGGCCTATTATAAGCTAGGAAGGGTGACCTTCAGGGTCCTAAGGCGGCCTGGCGAGGATCAGGATAATCCAGATCAACCTCCATCACTGTAAAGCTGCTTCAGCGGTACTTACAGTGGCGATGGGGAGGTTTGAAGTGGCCCCTGGTACAAGAACCGTGAATTAGACAGGGTACAATAAGAGGTTTAGGAGGGTTGGGTGGAGAGTTAATATATGACAGATCCACAGACACCCCTCGAACCTGCATAATTGTCAAAAAAGGCATAAAAATACTGCCGTTAACTAATTTCTATTCCAGAGATTTGACAGCAGTCAGAATCAAGATCGATGCACGAAATGGACCGAAGGAGGTAATACTCGGATCGGCATATCTACCTTCAGACGATCCTGAAGCAACACCTACCAGAAAAGTGGAGGAGCTGGTGAGATTCTGCAGGCGCAACGGAATGCAGATGATCATTGGCTGTGATGCAAACGCACACCACAAGATCTGGGGGAGCACCGATACCAACGAAAGAGGTGAGTCTTTACTACAATTTATTATGGCAAATAATTTAGACATAACAAATGTAGGCAATAAACCGACCTTTATAACAAAAAACAGAAAGGAGGTACTAGATGTAACAATAGCATCAACATACTTGAGTAATTTTATTACAGACTGGCATGTGTCTGACGAAGAGAGTTTATCAGATCACAGACAACATAAACTTCAATATTAAAGGTAATATTGCAAAAGAAACTTATCGGAATCCCAGGAAAACAGACTGGGAGGCATATAATGCTTCCCTGGAATGTAATCTTCCGAAGATGAGAAAGACGATAAGTACAACAACCGACCTAGAAATGGCTGTGGATGAGTTTAATGACACAGTCACTAGCGCTTTCAACGATACCTGTCCCTTAATAGCAAGGAACTCTACCAGGAAAGTTCCATGGTGGAATGATGACCTGGCTATACTAAGGAAACAGGTGAGACAAAAATTTAATAAGGCTAAAATAACCGGCGAATGGGAACTATATAGAACCATACGCACCTGTTACAACATAGCTTTACGAAAAGTCAAGAGAGAGTCTTGGAGAAGGCACTGTAAGGAGATAGCAAGCACTCAAGAATGTGTTAGGCTTCAAAAAATTCTCTCAAAAGACACAACACACAATAAACACCCTTAAGAATGAACTTGGGGAGTACACAATCACAGGGAAGGAAACAGTAAGGGAACTCTTCAGGGTTCACTTCCCTGGTGCACAAACCATAGCACACACAACGGCTAACCAGAATCTAAACGGACTGGAAGCTCATAATAGAGCCAACAGGGAAGATTGGAGGATAGCCAAACAAGTGGTGAACTATGATAAACTGAAATGGGCAATTAGCTCATTCGAACCATATAAATCACCGGGAATGGACGGGATTTATCCAATAATGTTCTGGTCCTGATATTTTATACAGCAGACTATGTAATATACTCAGAAGTAGCCTGGCCTTTGGACACATACCAAAAGCTTGGAGAAATATTAGGGTAACTTTTATACCAAAACCTGGGAAAATGGGACAGGAAACGGCAAAGTCCCTAAGACCAATAAGTCTTATGTCCTTCGTACTTAAGACTTTGGAAAAACTGCTAGATAGGCATATTAGAGAAGGGATATTGGTTCAAAGGCCAATATACCAAGACCAATACGCCTATAGTGCAGGGAAATCAACTGAAACAGCTCTCCATCAACTAATAAAAAGGGTGGAGAACACACTGGAAAACAAGGAGGTAATGCTGGGAGCATTCTTGGATATCGAGGGTGCATTTGACAATACCTCCGTTGAATCAATCATTAGATCTCTCAAACACAGAGGAATCGAGGACACATGCG